AAAGTGCGTCCAAGGAAATTCGAAGTCGGACAGTTAGTACTGAGGCGGATTTTGCCTCATTGGGCTGAAGCAAAAGGAAAGTTTGCCCCAAACTGGCAGGGACCATTTGTGGTAACCAGAGTGTTGTCTAACGGAGCATTGTATTTGATAGGTGTGGAAGGAAAATGTATAGAAATTGCCATCAATTCCGATGTGGTCAAGAGATATTATGTATGATTTATTTAGTTCTGAATGTATCTGTTTGTATTTGGCATATCTTAAAGATTGAAATGATGAAGACTTTTTGTCCTGCTATCCAAATACTCTTATCCCTTGTTATCCCCTTTGAGCCTTACTTATTTTTCATACCCCTCTTTCGGAATCAACGACACTATCAGGGAACACAGGTGCCAAACATAAAAGAAAGAAGAGAAAACAAAGGAAAAGAAAAAAAAAGGAAGAAGAAGAAGAAAAGAAAAGAAAGAAAAGCAAAAGAAAAGAAAGAAGAGAAAAACAAAAGAAAAGAAAAAGAAAGAAAAGGAAAAAGAAAAGAAAGAGGAAGAAAAGAAAAAAAAAGGAAAAAAAAAACACAACAACAAAAGTTAATTATGATACAATGAACTACGTTTGAATTGATCCCGAAAGGGTATGTAGGCAGCCTTACTCCGAGGTTCAGTCATACCAAAATAGAAATTCAAAAATCCCCAAGCAAGAAACTGGGGCAGAAGTTGTGATTGTTGTGAATGTTGGATTCCGAAAGTTGTAATTTGAACCCATTTGAATTGTTTTGAGCCTTTCATACCTTTCTTTTTAACCCAATCCAAAAGCCTACATTACGGTCCAAAGGAAGACCTTCTGATCAATTTTTGATAAAATGCTAAGTCGAGCAGGTAGCGGTAATTCGTGGCAATGGCAACACTCTGGTTCAAGCAAGAAGAACAAAACATAAAAATGAGAGAGTCTTATGGGTGAAAACCCTCACGGGCACCGTAAGGCGACGGGAGCTGAGAGAAAAATAAATGAGAAAGTCTTGTTGGTGAGAACCTTTACGGGCACCTCAAGACGAAGGTGAGGAAAGAAATGGCGAACTGAGAAAGGTCTGTTGATAGAAACCGTTTCGCGGTACCGCAGGGGAACAAGGTTAAGGTCTGGATAAAACAAACAAGTGATGGAAGTTCTGGGCAATGAGGTACAACAATTGAGAGTTGTTTGGTTGGACAGATTCGGCTGATTAATCCAAAATGCATGTCATGACCATTGGTACTAGCTATCTCGCTCAGATAAGTTTCTTTTCCTGATATTTTTAAACAGTCATCTGGTTTTGGATTCTTCTTATCCTTAACTCAAAATCATCGCATTTCATTTTCTTTTGAGAGTTTTATCTAGCTGAGATGTTTCAGTACTAGTTTTGGTCAACACAAGCAGAAAGGACTTCAAAGCTCACTACCAGCTTCCAGAATTGTAAAACTCAGCGTGGTCAGAGCATGTCAAAAACAACTTGACGTCAAGTGGAATACGGGGAATTAACGGAAGTTTCATCGGTGAAATGATTGGGGAATGTCGTGGGAAGGGAAAAAGCTTAAACAAAAGGTCAGAAAAGTGAAATAACAGCATGTGTGTAAAACATTTAGGTCGCCAGATGTGGGAAATTTGAAAGTTGGCCAGAAAGTCAAGCGGTTCAGGGTCAGTGCATGGGAGGCAGTCAACACAAAGCAAGGCAGTGGAAAGATTTTTCAGAAAGAATGCCATCAACTAACCACCGTTTTAAACTGACGAAATTTTCTTTGATTGAAACAGAGGCAGAAAGTTAGTCGTTGAGGAGGAATTCCCCAAGAAGGAAAAACAAGCAGTAATCAGGTTTGATCGCAAAGTGCGGTTTGATTAAATACAAGATAATCCTGAATAGCATAGGGGAATATAATTTGGTTGCAAAGGTTGCATGATTAGAATAAATGCAAGTTGTCAGGACCTTCCTGGATAATAGGACGTAATTCATATACCCGGGTAAGATACCTTGGTACAGTGAGAAGTAACACCTTGGGTTCATAATTGTTTGGAGCAGTCAGGAGTCCGCCTGGATAACAGAGGAATACATTCAAATTCAAAAATCAGGAGTCCGCCTGGAGAATAGAGACATACAATTTAATTTTAGCAATCAGGAGTCCGCCTGGAGAATAGAGACATACGATTTAATTTTAGCAATCAGGAGCCCGCCTGAAGAACGGAGGTAATACAATTCAAGTTTTTAGTTTCCCATCAATCTCTTTGTTTATTTTGAAGTCAGGAACCCGCCTGAAGAACAGAGGTACAGAGTTCAAAATTCAGAAATCAAGAGTCCGCCTGGAGAATAGAGACATACGATTTAATTTTAGCAATCAGGAGCCCACCTGAAGAACGGAGGTAATACAATTCAAGTTTTTAGTTTCCCATCAATCTCTTTGTTTATTTTGAAGTCAGGAACCCGCCTGAAGAACAGAGGTACAGAGTTCAAAATTCAGAAATCAAGAGTCCGCCTGGAGAATAGAGACATACGATTTAATTTTAGCAATCAGGAGCCCACCTGAAGAACGGAGGTAATACAATTCAAGTTTTTAGTTTCCCATCAATCTCTTTGTTTATTTTGAAGTCAGGAACCCGCCTGAAGAACAGAGGTACAGAGTTCAAAATTCAGAAATCAAGAGTCTTCCTAGAGAATAGAGACATACAATTTAATTTTAGCAAGCAGGAGCCCGCCTGGCTAATAGAGGGGTAGTTTCAATTTTAAGTTCAGCAGTCAGGGGCCCGCCTGGAGAATGGAGGTGTTAAATATTTTAAGCAGTTGAAGTTAGGAGCCCGCCTGGATAATAGAGGAGCAGTTTCAATTTTAAGTTCAGCAGTCAGGAGCCCGCCTGGAGAATGGAGGTGTTAAATATTTTAAGCAGTTGAAGTCAGGAGCCCGCCTGGATAATAGAGGAGCAGTTTCAATTTTAAGTTCAGCAGTCAGGAGCCCGCCTGGAGAATGGAGGTGTTAAATATTTTAAGCAGTTGAAGTCAGGAGCCCGCCTGGATAATAGAGGAGCAGTTTCAATTTTAAGTTCAGCAGTCAGGAGCCCGCCTGGAGAATGGAGGTGTTAAATATTTTAAGCAGTTGAAGTCAGGAGCCCGCCTGGATAATAGAGGAGCAGTTTCAATTTTAAGTTCAGCAGTCAGGAGCCCGCCTGGAGAATGGAGGTGTTAAATATTTTAAGCAGTTGAAGTCAGGAGCCCGCCTGGATAATAGAGGAGCAGTTTCAATTTTAAGTTCAGCAGTCAGGAGCCCGCCTAGAGAATAGAGGTGTTAAATATTTTAAGCAGTCGAAGTCAGGAGCCCGCCTGGAGAATGGAGGTGTTAAATATTTTTAAGCAGTCGAAGTCAGGAGCCCTCCTGGATAATAGAGGAGTAGTTTCAATTTTAAGTTCAGCAGTCAGGAGCCCGCCTGGATATCAGAGGAATACATTCGAGTTCGAGTTTATTCAAGTTCAGCAGTTTGGAGAGAGGGAATAACATCTCAATTCACCAGGGGAATAGCAATAGGGAATTTTATCGAGAAAGCACAAGACAATGAGGCAACAAGGAAACACAAGACAACAAGGCAGCAAGGAAGTACAAGAGAAAGTTTGAAGAATTTAGATAGGATTCTTGTAATTCATAGAGCATAGTTAGTTTAGTTTCTTTTATCTTTGACGTGGTGTAAAAAGGGAGGTCAGCAAGCAGTAACAGCAGCAAGCGTAGTGAAATCACAGTTCCTGGTAGTCCCAGCTACCAGACATTCCCGAACTACACTGACCTGATTCCTGTTTAGCCCAGGATATGTAGGCAACCTCTGAAGCAGGATGCGGTCAAACTTTTCAAAATGCTTCACAACGGAATATTTGAACGGGCAAAAATCGCTCGTATTTGCTCACTTATCTTTGCCCGAAAACCTTTCGTGTTTCCGAGCAAAGAGGGGCAGCTGTGAGCACGTGATTTTTGCCCTAAGCAAATTATTCCCAAAAATTCAAACAAAATGGTTTTTCTTTATTTTTACAATTTTTATGCATTTTGGTGCCATTTTCTGATAATTGTTGCATTTTATTTGCGCATGTTAATTTTTATAAAATACAAAAATATGCATTTTCGCATTTAGGTTTAGTTTTATATTTTAGTATCAATTAAGGGTTAATTTGTTTAGAACAAAACATGAAAAATCACAAAATTAGTTCACTTTTGCATTCTAATGATTTTTATTGTGAATTTGTCATGAAATAGTTTTTAAAACAATTTTAGGAATTAATTAGTCTTTATTTTGAAATAATTAGGATTTCATGTTGGTATTACATCTTTATAAAAATTAGAAAAAATTATAAAAATTTAAAAAATGAGAAAAAGGAAATAAAAGAGAAAAGAAAATAAGAGTAGGAAAGTGGTCTTAATAAAGACCCAAATTTGGGCCAATTCATTGATAATTTTCAGGCCCAAACGCCCTTAGACCATTCCAACCAGATCCAGGCCCAATGCTGCAATACCCGGCCTACCCCTATCCTAACCCAAACGACGTCGTTTTGTAAGCGATACGATCCTGACCGTTCATCTGCCTTGTATCAACGGTTCAGAGTCCATATAACTTTTGAATAAAAGTGTCTGAAGGACACTCACAAACCCTAGAGACAGATGCCTCCTTCCTCGTACAGCCTTGAGCTCGCCGGAATCCTTGCCGACGGGAAATGCCATTTATGCCATCGACCACCAAAATAACATTACGAGACCTTCTCTTCCCCCTCGTCATGAATCCACCATCTGTTTCCTTCAAATCTATCCCTAGCTCATCGAATCTTTGATCAAAGGTTTCCGGCCAAAACTCAAAGTAACCCAATTACCATCAAATTTATACCTTGTGACCGCCGGAACCTACTCTACCCAATCCCCATACCTGTTGGTCTCGAATCTTCCTAGATTGGTTCAAATATCAATTTTAAATTTTCTGGCCAAAAACCCTAACGCAAAATCTTTGTGACTTTGGACCGTAATATCCTTAACCATGTGTTTTCTTGTGAAAACACATGGTTAGGGATGCTACGTGTCAAAAATCTGGAAAGATTCGGACGGCAGTGGTTGGCCGGAGTTTTCCCTCCATCGGTGAGTTTCTTTGTTCATCGCTTTGTTCAGTTTTGTTTTGTGTTGATTAGTTTAGTTGAATGTCAATTAGTTTAATTCATAACCTTGTTTGTTGAACAATCAGTTAGGATTAGAAGTCATGGCCTCACGCTTTCTGTTGTCTATGGGTTTAGCTAATGAATTCGATTAGAATAGTTTGTGTATTTGTTTATTCTTCATATATTTCTATCAATATTGGGCGTGGTCTTGTCAGTCGATTAGTTCAAACTCTGAATCAATCGGGGCTTCTTTGGTTGGTGACTTCATGCTAAGTAGTTTGTTTTAATAATTGGATTGTTCGGAATTTTGTTTGATTTGGGGTAAATGTTTGAAGTTTTGTTTAAATCTCGGCTGTTTGAGCAGTATGGTTATAGCTGAAAACAAGATAGTAATTCTAGTTGGATGAAAGGGGTAGTTTCTTTAAGGACTGGTAATTTCAAAGCAGGAGTAAGGGTAGTATAGGAATTGCCTCGCTAAAAGAGCATCCTAGATGCTTCTAGAATGGGGTACAATTGTAGATTTCAATAATTGTGATGCATTTACTTGTTTAGCAAGTCAAGAATAGAGGGACTAAACTGAAAATAAGGGAGGGACTAAAAAAGAAGGCCTAAAATCTGATCTACTCTCTCTTGTTGCCTATAAAAGGGCATGAAATGCCTTAGGGAAGGGGTCTTCTTCCTTCAGCTGAGAGCCCCAAAATCCCCTCAAAAAATTAAAAAAATAAAAAAAATTTAGTCTAAGCTTCCCAGGTTAGTTTTGAATCTCAGATTAGAAATACTGGATCTGAAACTCCCGGTACATTCGAGAAAAAACCCAAAAGAAAGTAGATAAAATACCAGCAAATATACAAATCACTGTTACATTGGTTTTGGGACTTAGTTTTGATCGATTTTGTTCTCCTTTGATTGTTAGAGTGCTCTGGACCATGCTTGTTTGTTATTAAGCATTTTGGATTGAATTAAACTGGGATTTATTGGAGTTTGACGGTTGCTGATGTCTATGGATGCCATTTGAGTTCGTTTGTTTGGCATTAATGCTGTTTTGGTCAATTTCTCCTTCCTGTTTGGTACTTGGGTTGCTGATTTGCTTGCCGGGTTGAAACTATTACTGCGGTTCAATTATTTCTATTGCATACTGCTGATCCTTCTTATTCCCCATTTGTTTCGTTACTTCCAGGTACTTATCTCTAGCATTGAGTGGTGTATGTGTTTACAAGCTGAATAAAACTGAATTAAAAAAGAGATTGAAGTGCAAGTATTATGTTGTTACTTTAAGTCATACACTGTTTCCTTGGTGTTCATTTGGAATGATTAAATCTGTACCGGATATGTAATAATAGGACTGATGTTGTGGTTAATTAATGGGCTGTTAATTGGTTTAGGCAATGGGCAGTTGGAACTGGTCATTGATAATCCCTATCTCTTGTTAGATCATGTTATTAAATGTTGGTTTAAGCTCATATTCGAATTAATATGGTGTTGTTGACCCAGTCAATCAGTGAAGAAGATAGATCCATTTGGATTGATTATTGTTAGCTTATGAATGTATTTGTATAACAACTGTGATTTGTGCAAATAGTTGATAATAAAAATAACAACAGTTTGTTTCTTAAAAGTCAGGAAGTAATTGAAGTGTGAAGCTGGTGGTTAGATTTAAATTTTGAAATGCATAAAAATGATAAGTTTGAGTCAATACACGAATTTCAGTTTAATATTAACGTTTCTGGTGCTAGAGTCGAAAACAGCCTTTTGTTTGGCAAGTGTTGTTCAAATTTGATACTACACTTTCGTTATGTTCGTGTTATCTTACAATTCATATGGTAGTAAGCTAAATAAAAATAATTGTTCACTTGTGTTTTTGATTGGTTAAAACTGAGATCCGAAGTGAGGTAATGCTAAAAATAGTGAGTTGGTGTTTTGGATCGATTGGGGTGAACGTCGTGTTGTTTCCGTCCAGGTTCGAACCTGGGCTCATTGGTATGTGTTTGCGTGAGAATTGGGCCTTCTTTGGCATTGGGACTGTTAGTGTCCATGTAGGCCCATATGTTGGGGACAGTCTTTCTTATAAAGAAAGTTACCGACGTATTAATCAATTATTATTTTCCGAGACAAAAAAAATAGTAGAAAATCATAGCCACTCTAGGATCGGCCTTTAAAACAAAATGAGACGAGCCTCTCTAGATAGATAAATAGATTGTGGGGCCCTCGATAAATAGTTATTAAAATACTTAGAATTGGGGAGGGCCGTTTAGTGAATTTCACGGCCTTCCCCAAAATAATATTACGTTAGAATCTTTAGGCGCAATTTTAATTAAATTACCTTCTTAAACCCGGGTGCGCATTGATGCGACCCAAATCCAAATCTCGACGAAGTCGAAATGTGTTGACAACCACGGGTGCATTGATTGCGACGTGGTTCAAAACGCGTTTTCATGACGTCGCAATTCTTGTAAAATTAATAATGATAAAAAGCGGTTTATGAATAAAAGGCACATAAGCTAGCAGGTATTAAAATCAGATAAAATCAAATGCAACAGTTAAGCGACCGTGCTAGAACCACGGAACCAGGGAGTGCCTAACACCTTCTTCCGGGTTAACAGAATTCCTTACTCGGATTTCTGGTTCGCAGACTGTAACAGAGTCATATTTTTCCTCGGTTCGGGATTCAACCGGTGACTTGGGACACCATTAATCTCCCAAGTGGCGACTCTGAATATTAATAATTAAATCCCGTTCTGATTGTCCTTTAATTGGAAAAACTCCTTTACACCCTTTGCGGGTGTATGTAGAAAAAGGAGGTGCGACATATGCATTACCCAGTCAATTCTTTCGACAACAAGTCTTGGAGTACGCGTCGCGTACACTAACTCTTTGTTAAGTCACCCTTATTTTAGGAGGGGGGCCGTCGGACGTATGGAGCGGGTGGAAAGCTTGAGCAGCCACTATCGACCATACGCTCCCCCGAATTGCCTTGTTAGTAAACCCCAAACTTAGGTCAGCCTTTAGGTCATTTTTATTTGCATCATGTCATTTAGACCTAATAGGGCTCGGTCCCAGGTACCGTGTCCCATTGCAGGAAGCCTGTCCAAACTTTGTCAAAATGGGCCCGTGACCCAAAATGACATTTAATCATCCTATGTGCTAAATGTTGCATCTGTGAGGGTAAAAAGGTTATTTGGCGGACCGATGTCTTGGAAAGAAGGGTGAAAATGAAGCAAGTAGGGCCCACTCGCATTTTTCTTTCATAGTTTTCCAAAAATCAAAAACAAATTGAAAATGAAAAATCCAAAAAAAAAATACAAAAAGATTTTACACTTTTCCATTATTTTCCAAAAAAAAAGAGAAAAAAAATCCAAAAAGATTTTACATTTTCCATAATTTCCAAAAATTCAAAAAAATGAAAAAGAAAATCCAAAAGTTTTTACATTTTTCATCATTTTTCAAAAAAGACAAAAATGTAGTTTTTTTCAAATTAGTTGCATCTTCCCGAACTACGCGAACCTGATTCTTGTCTTCCGGGGCGGGATACGTAGGCAACCCACATGGGGTGAGATCTTCCTAGTAGGTCCTAGGTTCTTGGCTTCTGGGGTCGTAGCCAAATCTTGCATGTATAGCCATATTTTGCCACATTGGCCGTTTTTGCAAAAATAGGAGTATTTTCTCAAAGTAGTTTGTTATCTCCTGTTTTAGAGCCCTGAGTCTACAATAAAGTGTCTTCTCGATTCTAAGGTCCACACCCTGTTAAATCTACCTGTATAGACACTTTTGGCCACATCGGTCATTCTTGCAAAATAGGGTTATTTTTGCAAAAAGTGGTTCAATTACCCATGTCTTAGGATTTTGAGTCTGCAACTCAGTGTCATATCACTTTAAGGTCCATCCATGTCGTGTTTGCATCCTTAGCCACATTTGGCCATATCGGCCATTTTTGCAAAATGGGCCATGTCCGCAAAGTATTTTTTAAGGCCATGATAGTTGGGATGTTGGAGTCATCTAAGCTTTAAATGGAGTATTTTTCATGCATTAGGGGTCAACTTTGTCAAGTTTGCACTAATAGCCACTTAGACCATTTTGCAAAATATAGCCAAACCGTGTCTTGCATTTGTCCACTAGGAAATGTTGTGGTGTCACATAGTGTCCCGAGTCGCTAACCATATTTTCTTCATTCAGGTATGGACCCGCTAATTCGATCCAAAGTGCTGATGGTAGTAAAGATTCCTAGGAAGTTCATCAAGTGGTGGAAAATGTTTTCATCGTTACAGCAGCATGAGTTAATGCAGAAATTGGGCACCCTAACTTCACTTCTTGATATCACACCCCGCCCAGACTTAGTGGAGGCGATTCTGACTTATTGGGACCCGCAAAATTTGACTTTCAAATTTGGAGAGTGTGAGATAACTCCTACCTTGGCGGAAATGTCTGGTCTCACCCGTTTAAGCTATATAGGCAAGGACATGATACTTCCCCGAGACCACTCTAGGACAAGATTTCTCAGCGACCTGGGTCTGAAAGATAATAAGCATTTAAAATGCCTCGAGCAGTCCTAGATATCCTTAGATTATTTGTTTGCTAGATTTGGGCCACAGGATAGTTTTGACGTTTTTTGGGATGAGTTTTGCACAACCAAGGCAAAGTGGCAAAGACGTCGCCTCGAAGCTTTCAGCCTTGCTTTGTTGGGATTATTGGTTTTTCCATTAGATGAGAGGCATATTAGCACCCGTCTACAGTCAGTGGTAATGGCACTATTTCATGAGAAGCAACGCAAAACCGTTACTGTTGTGCCGACGATCTTAGCATAGTTGTACCGAGCCCTGAGTGAGGTTAGGGGAGGTGTCAGGTATTTTGAAGGAAGTAACCTTTTGCTACAATTGTGGATGATGGAGCATTTGCACACTGCTTCATTACTTTGTCCCATCGATCGTGCCTTGAGGGATCGGGTGGTATGCATCGAGCGTAGGATGAAATCTCCTAAGTTTACATACCCAGTAGGCGTCACAGCTTGGATTGAGTTCCTTGGTTTGAGGACAAATGGGAATGTTTTGTGGGCTTACCTTTGGATACCTTTAGATGATATCTTGGTAGGATGCCTCATGCATCCTTTCCTGATGCTGATAGGACTCAAGTGTGTCAGACCATACACTCCTGTTAGGGTAATACGACAGTTGGGCAGAAGACAGGAGGAGCATCCAACTTTGAATCTTCGGAGGTACATCATGAATTTTAGCAAAAAGGCGGTTGGCGAAATCAAGTACGTGCAATACTGGAACAATGCAAAGAGGATGAAGAAAAATACATTAGTAAAGGACGTTGGCAGGCCCGAGTGTACTCAAGTGTACCTGATTTGGTTACAGTCTGTCCCACCAGGGGTCAACACCCCATTTCCAGCACAACTTAGGGGTCGGGCAGTTCAGACAGATGATTTTAAGGAGGCATCAGACCAAGATCCCTGGGATAAGCTTGAGTTGATAAAGTCTCAGTTAGCGGGATTGGCAGCAAACGTGGAGCAGCATGGCCAGTATTTGTTTAGGGTCGGCCATCAGGATGCGGGGGCACATGCCAGGGCCTTTATTCCCAACATCGGTATTTCTTTACGAGGCATGTTACAGAGTTTGAGCATGACGGACAGCCCAGGATCATCCCAGCTAGGACCATCGCATTCAGGAGCAGCTTGAGGAGTCATTCTATTTAGGTGTTTTGAGATGTCTTATGTTGTCTTTTACTTTCGTGTCTTATCTAGAAGTACTGAGTCCTTTAGGTAGTGTCAAAGTCTGTCATAGTGTAGTTGAGTCTGTCAGGTCTTTCATTATCGCACTTCCTATTGTATTTTAATATCGAAAAGTTTTTAAATGAAAAATCCCAAAAAAGATTTTGTTTTAGTTTATTTTCCATCAACTTTCTAGAACTACACTTGGTCTGATTCATGAGGGACATGATACGTAGGTAACCTACAGCAGGTTCGATCAAATCATTTTTGTTTCAAAATAAAAAGAGAAAGAAAAAAAGAAAAGGGTGAAAAGAGGTGTTGGAAAAGAAAGAGAAGGAAGGATTGAAATGAGCAAATCGGGATGATGCCATATGACCCTGCGACCCTCAAAGCCATTTTATAACCGTTAATCATTGCTAGGTGCATTGCACGTAATGTGATATTATTATTTGATAAATGCCCTAACGCTAACATGGTGGTTTTGTGTTGTTGTCCTCTATTATCTTTACTTGAGTTTCAGGAAGGTGGTT